TACTTCAACTGTCCATTCATCCGGGACACCCGGGAGCAATATTCTTTCTTTTTGGAATCGAGTAACAAACTCTCGTAATAATTTAGATTCTCCCTGTGTGATCCTGAATATGTCGGCCTTCCGAGCTTGCACTTTTCTGGCCCCGGCATGAGCCTTAATGAAAGAATCTGCGAGCATCTCGATGGAATCTATGGAATGCTCGGGTAATAATGAATACCATGTTAGAGTTTCCCCCGTGAGAGTTTCTCTAAATTTCTTTAGCAACACAGATTCAATTTCGTGAGGAGCTAAATCATTTCCTTTCACCGTCGTTGTATATGTAGTAATATGCTTCTATGGATCTGAAGTTCCATCATACTTTAGAATTTCAGGCATTTTAAACCTCTTCGGGATTAGTTCTGGTGCCGCACTCGGCTTGTACGGTAATTAAATATACTTCTTTGAGTTCGGGCCTTTCAATACTAGTGGCGCGCCGGGATTTGATCCATGCGGGCGTTTACTTCCCTCATGAACTGCAAAAGTTCATCCTTGAACGGAGCATTATCGTTGAGACCGGATCTGCTCCCCCAGCCCCGTCGGAGCCAACTTCACCCCTGGGAGTGTTGTTGTCGACTCTCTGCGTTGTCTGGTCTGCGGTAACAATGAGAGGAATTGAATCTCGTCTGTTTGCATTATTCGAAGCACCTGATAACGCATGTTTCAGTTCCGTCATAACCTGATTCTGTCGCGTGAGATGGCCTAGAATGATTGCTTGTTGCTCTTGCAGGACCCTCACTGCATCCACTACATGCTCCTTATCAGCATCATCGGGAGTTGTCTCCCGAACCTGTGGAGGGTACCGCCTATCATGCACCGGCGTGGCGTCATTCCCCTCACTGCGGGTGTCACTAATTGAATCCTCGAAATAAGTTGATCCCCTCGAATTTCAGGGTTGCCTTGGATCATGTCCTCCTTAAATGTCAATTATGAGGGTCATTGATGAATATGTAACGATGAACATAAATGCCAAATTCTCTGTAACGGACCGTCGCTCTTAATACTGCAGAATATTTCCTATTAAATGTTAGCGGGTACAGAACATTTAATACACCTTTATGAACATTATCATTTCCGGTGACAAGCAGAATGACTGTGTTCGGTCTTCAGCCATCCCTGTCTTGGGTTCCCTGTACAACTTGCGCATGCAGAAAGTGCTATAGAAAGAAGAAATATACTGAAGAAAACAACAAACTTTTGGAAGCAAATAGAGGAGGAAAATCGAGCCGCAATATTCTAGAGAGTGGACCATATATAATTCAAGAATTGGATTTATATATAAAAAAACAATATTATTCCGCTGTGTAGTACGATACGGATGACATCATCAACACAGTTCACTTGTATTAACAAAAGTCTTTCACACAACATGCATGTTCAATTATATCATTATTTTCTTATTGCTAACGTTGTTATTATTATTGTTGATTGCTGTTATTATTATCATACACTACTGTTGTATTATCATTTGTGTGCTCTTGGAATAATGTCAAGTAAAAAGCTTCCACGTTTGCTTTTATGATATGCTTTGTGCACAATATCTAATTTTCAGTAATGGTTAACATGAATTATCCGACTCGGTTCTCACTTTTATCAATTCTTTGAAGTTTGAAGGACGGATAAGGTGTATTGATCAATATTTTTTACATGCCCCATTGAGAAAATTAGCGAAATGAGTTGTTTTCCCATGTAAAAGATTGCGGTAGAAACTACTAAATGTTATACCTAAAAATACTTACACTCTGTTTGGATCACTGTTCTAAAAGGTATTTTCGGGACGAGGCGTACCAAAAACGCCCCACGGCAATGGTGTGGGGCGAAGGTCTCTAGAGGCGTACGCCCAGTAATTCGGGGCGTATGCCCGGGCATTCGGGGCGTACATCCGGGCGTTCGTGGCACGTTTTTTTTTAGTGAAGAGTAAGCCCCAGAGACTTTTTAAAATTAAAATAAAATTTGTTGAATAAGTCCTTTATATAATACCCAAATTCTCAAAAGTCAGTTTGGTAATTACTCAAAAGGTTTAAAAAGGAACTCAAAAGTATTAAATTTAAAAGTCAAAACCTTTTTTTTATTGATTGAAACCCTAATTCATGGTCTTTCCCAATTTTTTATCTTGTCCGCTAGTCTACTAATATCTCCCAAAAGCAACGAATATTTTTTTTTTTTACAAATACAAAGAGAACTACATTCTCCTTCATAGCAGCAAGTTCAAAGTTCAAATTGCAGGTTAAACATCCTTTTTGTTCTTTCATATAGAAAACTTTATTCTTTTAGACTCAAATTACTTGTGCTTGTAAGTAGCGTATAATAGATNCACTAGTAGGGTCTGGGGAGGGTAGTGTGTACGAAAACCTTACCCCTACCCTGGGGTAGAGAGGCTGTTTCCGATAGACCCTTGACTTCTTCCCTCCAAGAACTCCCTACCTTGCTCTTGGGGTGACTCAAACTCACAACCTATTAAGTGTTGATGATCACATATTTATAGTTTTTTTTAATTTTTATGCAATTTTACCTGTTTATAAATATTTACTGTCATTATATTATTTTATAAAATATTAAAAATTAAACACCTAAGGGGTTTTTGCCCCGTGCCTCGGGGCTTACGCCTTGTAAAACGCCTCGCCTTACGCCTACGCCTTTTAAAATACTGGTTTGGATCATCGTTACCCATCGTTTTATAATGTATTGTAATGTATCGTATTGTATTGTATTGTATCGTTTTATGAATACAACGTTTGGATAGATTGTATTATTTGTTATTGTTAATAACATATTTTATGTTTGGTTTGACTGTATCATACTGTACTGTAACTAATAAATTTACTAAAATACACTCAATTGTTTTAAATATATCAAGAATTGCGCATAATTTTTTTTTAAGAGAACCCCTAATTTTTACTAATTTATCTCTAATTATGTCTTATAAACAGATTAATCAATTAACTTTATGCAAATTCTAACAAAATTAATGGAACAAGTTAGTAATATTAAAAATAATAATAAGTACACTCTATTCATAATTAGATCATAACAATAATATTAAGAAAAGTAAAATATTATGTAAAAAATAATGACCGTGAAATGAACGAAGACAAATTAGGTAAGAATGGCAGAACTTATGGTAAGAATGGCAGAACTTATTCTTGTTATCTTTCACCGTGGAGTTGGCAAAGAACGGCAGAAGCAGTTCTGAAAAAAATGGGAGGAAGACAAAGTACGTTATAGGTTGAAGATTTGGAGTTAAAATTTAAAAAGGATAAAAGGTAAAATAGAATTATGGAGTAATAAAGAAGGCATAATTGAAAAAAAAAATACGAAACAATCACACCACATCAAATCGGTTGCTTCAAAAATGGGTCTTTTCATAATTTCGGAACGATGAATTTAACAATACAATACAATCAATTTTAACTAAACAATCAAAACAAATATTATTTTAAAATAACAATACAATACGATACAATGGATAACAACCGTCCAAACAAAATGTTAGCCTAAACTAACGACTAAATGCTATACCAAAATTATTTAACTCATCAATATTTATTTAGCCTAAAGGAAGACCACACCAGAAAACTAAAGGAACTACCCTCAATACGACAGTTAACTTCCCCCCTTGCCTTCGGTTAGATATTTAAAAGCGAGTGAATATGATACTCTTTCCGGTTCTTTTTATGCGTCACTTTAATATTAAAAAAATTTGGTCTAAAATATTTATTTCTCTAGAAAACCAATTAACTATTTTTTCATTCCAACATTACTATACTAAGAAGGCATATAGTCATTAATTACTCATTTATGGAAGAAACAAGGGTAATTTAATAAAATATTATATATTACTAGTGGTATCAAATGATTTTTTAAAATAGGTGTGCCAAAACTTCAATCAACAAATAAAAGGAGGAGTAAAAATTTTGCTAAAAAATAATTTTGACGATCTAAATAATTATTTAAAAAATTAATCCGAGTCATCAATCACGAGTGATGTTAACTGAAATTGTTTTTGGCGTCATGAGATAAGACGAGATTGTTAGAACTTTTGATGTGTGCCTACCACGAGAATACCTATTCTTTGCTGATTAATTGAAAAAAATATTTGAGATGAGACAAGATCGTTTGAACTTTTAAATTTTAATTAATGTGAACCAATTCTTGTTCTGCCAAACCCATTACTGAAAGTTTGGCTTGTGGTGGTAGGATACAATGTAACAACACATTGCATTTTCCAATTCATCCACCCACTACTAATGGGGTATATCCCTTACCTGACTATAGTCTTTAAAGATATCATGACGTTTGTAGACTACTTCCAAATTTCCAACAGTAAAAAGATAAACGACAACCAAAAATTGCGGGAAAATGATACTGTATAGTCGATATATTATATATTTTTTCGGCTATAAAATATAAATAGTTGCTGGCGGGAATTAAAGTGATAATACCCCGAAAAAATCGTCTATGTTGTGATCAATTGGTCAATGAAGTAGTTGAGAACCGTAATGTTTCATATTCAAATTCTAGATGAGACAAAAATACTACAATAGATAATTGTTTCCATCTGTTTGAGCCTTGGTAGATAGAGTTGCTCATACTGGTAAATAGGGGCGAAGCCACCTTTTGCTAAGAGTGATCAATTCATCAAAATATTACAAAAATTTCACTTTACTGTATATAAGTAAAATATTGATTTTAAATGTATATAACATATATTGAACACCTTTTGTATGAAATTTTTTTTATTTCTTTCGAGTGTGAATACCTTTGGGAAAATTTCTTGTTTCACCACTGAGTGGTGAAAAGTAACAACCTCGTGCATTAGTCGAGGTGTTAGCAAGTTGATTGGAAAATCAAGATTATAAATTTTTTTTAAAAAAAGTCAAAAATATAAAGGAAGGAACAAAGAGAAGTTGAATTCCAGGAATCCTAGTGGGCAAGAATTTTCATTTCATTTGATATAATTCCATATTGTTAGGCTTAGAATAGTTGGGTAAAAGATATATCCAAGAAATTTGCATGACCAATCTCTATCTCTCTTTATCACAACAACACTTACATTGTATAAAGCAACATACTATTTGGGACCAACTAGAATAAGAAATCATGATATTTAGAATTACAAGAAGAATAAGGTGGAGAAGAGGAGGAGCTGGAATAAGCAAAAAGAAGATGAAACAAGTGGTTAAGGAGTTATTACAGAGTACATTTAGTAGTTGCATTCATTCACATATCACACTCACATGTACTACTACTACTACTTCCATTCTGCAACTACTGTAAAGTTCTTGCTAGTTGACTCTCCTTTCAATTGTGACCTTTGGCTGTCCATCTCTTCCTTCTTTCCTTATCAATCAATCAACTTTTTTTTTTCCTCTGTCAATTTTCTTTCTCTGTTTCACATCCCTTTTTTATCCACTTATTTAATTTTCTCACTTTGCTCAAGTATTATAGCTAAACCCCATTTTTGCATGTCTTGACTAGCACTATTTCTTGTGACCTGCAATCTCAAGGATTTCATGTTTTCTTTTTTGTTCTTGAGTTTGGGGCTCTAATATAATTTCCTTATAATGGGGCCTGCAATCTCAAACTTATTTAATAGTATCTGTTTCTTGGTCTGCCATTAGCTCTGCTACAACTTTTTTGAGCATTGCCATGCTAAGAAGTTCCATAATTTAATCCATAAAAATGACATGACTTCAGCAAACTAAAAAGCATGTCATTTATGCCTTTTATTCTTGGAAATGGCAAACCATAGGAATTCTGCTATTCAACAGCATTTGTTTTTGGTGTTGTTGATTCATTTCATTGCTACCCTTGGTCAATCTTTAAATGAAGAGGGGTTTATTCTTTTGGAGTTCAGAAAATCCCTAAATGACCCTTATAACAATCTTGAGAGTTGGAATTCTTCAGACTTGAGTCCTTGCAATTGGAATGGTGTTGAGTGTAGCAAAATTGGTCAGGTGATTTCTCTCAGTATCGATCGCCTCAACTTAACTGGTAGTTTATCTTCTAGCATTTGTAGGCTTCCTTACTTGACTAAATTGAATGTGTCAACAAATTTCATTTCTGGCCACATTCCTGATGATTTTGCACTGTGTCAAAGTTTGGAGAAATTGAACCTTTGCACCAATAGGTTCAATGTGGAGTTTCCTGTCCAATTATGCAATATTACCTCCCTAACACAACTTTATTTATGTGAGAATTACATTTATGGTGAAATACCTCAGGACATTGGAAACTTGTCACAACTTGAGGAGCTTGTTATTTACAGTAACAATCTCACTGGAAAAATCCCTGCTTCTATAGGTAAATTGAAAAGGCTTAGAATTATCAGAGCCGGTCGAAATTATTTATCTGGTCCTATTCCTGCAGAAATTAGTGAATGTGAAAGTTTACAAATTCTTGGAGTAGCAGAGAATAGGCTAGAAGGGTCTTTCCCAATAGAGCTTCAAAAGTTAGAGAGTCTCGCCAACTTAATTCTTTGGGCTAACTTTTTCTCTGGTGCAATTCCTCCTGAGATTGGAAACTTCAGTAATTTAGAATTGCTTGCTTTGCATGAGAATTCCTTCACTGGACCTCTTCCTAAAGAGATTGGAAAGTTAACTAATCTGAGAAGGCTGTACATTTACACCAATCAGTTAAATGGAACAATTCCATGGGAATTGGGACATTGTTGGAGTGCAGCTGAGATTGATTTATCTGAAAATCAATTGAGTGGATACATTCCTAAAAGCTTGGGCTTACTTTCTAACCTGAGGTTGCTTCACCTTTTCGAAAACAGACTACATGGGAAGATTCCAAAGGAGCTTGAAAAGTTGAAGTTGCTGAAGAATTTGGACTTGTCTATAAACAATTTGACAGGTAGAATTCCATCAGAGTTTCAGTATCTTGAATTCTTGGAAAATCTACAACTTTTTGACAATCAACTCGACGGTCATATTCCTCGATTTATTGGCCTCAAAAGCAACCTCTCTGTAGTGGACTTGTCCAAGAATAATCTTGAAGGAAGCATACCTTCAAATCTTTGTCAGTTTCAGAAACTAACGTTTCTGAGCCTCGGGTCTAACAGGTTGTCGGGCAATATACCTTATGGCCTAAAAACATGCAACTCTTTAGAACAGCTGATGCTAGGAGATAACCTGCTCACTGGTAGCTTCTCTGTTAATATTTGCAAGCTTCAGAACCTTTCTGCTCTTGAGCTTTTTCACAACAGATTTTCTGGTATGCTACCACCCGAGGTAGGCAACCTCAGAAAGTTAGAGAGGTTGCTCTTGTCACGTAATTACTTTTTCGGGATAATTCCTCCTGATATTGGAAAACTTGTGAAGCTTGTTGCTTTTAATATCTCCTCCAATCAGTTCTCTGGTGAGATTCCACATGAGCTAGGGAGTTGTATAAGGCTCCAGCGGCTTGATCTTAGCAAGAACTTGTTTGCTGGAATTCTCCCAGGTGAACTTGGCAATCTAGTGAACCTGGAACTGCTTAAGCTATCTGATAATGAGTTTAGTGGACAGATACCAAGTGGCTTAGGTGGACTCGTTCGACTTACTGAATTGGAGATGGGAGGGAACTTATTCTCTGGTAGCATTCCGGTTGAACTTGGCCAACTTGGGACTCTGCAGATTTCTCTCAATCTCAGCCACAATGCTCTCAATGGATCAATTCCTAGCAACCTTGTGAACTTGCAAATGCTTGAAACATTGTACTTAAATGATAACCAGCTTATTGGTGAGATTCCAACTTCAATAGGGCAGTTGATGAGCCTGATAGTATGCAATCTTTCTAACAATAACCTTGTGGGATCAGTACCAAATACACCTGCCTTTCGAAGGATGGACTCCAGCAACTTTGCTGGAAATGTTGGGTTGTGCACATTGGATTCTAGCCATTGTGATCCTTCTCCAGCCCCTTTGATTGCACCGAATACAAGCTGGTTGAATCATCGTTCTTCTAGAGAAAAAATAGTTACTGTTGTTTGTGCAACTGTTGGGATGATCTCTTTGATATTCATTGCACTTATATGTAGGGTCATTAGAGGCCGCCACAAGACAGCTTTTGTTTCACTGGACAATCAAGTAAAGCCTGATGTCTTGAATGATCATTACTTTCCACGAAAAGGGTTCACGTACCAGGACCTTGTCGAAGCGACTGGGAATTTCTCAGACAGTGCAATCATAGGAAAGGGAGCTTGTGGCACTGTCTACAAAGCTACTATGGCTGATGGTGAATTTGTTGCAGTTAAAAAACTGAAGTCCCGAGGAGAAGGGGAGAGCGTTGATAGCAGCTTCCACGCTGAATTATCTACTCTCGGAAAAATAAATCACAGAAATATTGTAAAGCTATTTGGTTTCTGCTACCACCAAGACTGCAATCTTCTCTTATATGAGTACATGGTAAACGGAAGCCTTGGCGAAGTACTTCACGGGAATAAGACGACTAGCTTGCTAAATTGGAATACCAGGTACAAAATTGCACTAGGAGCTGCTGAGGGTTTAAGCTATCTGCACCATGACTGTAAGCCACATATCATTCACAGGGATATAAAGTCGAACAATATTTTGTTGGATGAACTGCTGGAGGCACATGTTGGAGACTTTGGCTTGGCAAAGCTAATTGACTTCCCATACTCAAAATCCATGTCTGCAGTTGCTGGTTCGTACGGCTATATTGCCCCTGGTAAGACTGATTTTTAGTCACTTAATGATACTCTTTATTCAGCAGTTCATAGGTAGAGAAGTTGACTAGTTTCTTGATTTTTTTTCAGAATATGCATACACAATGAAAGTGACAGAGAAATGTGACATCTATAGTTTTGGGGTTGTTTTGCTGGAACTGGTTACTGGTAGGTCTCCAGTTCAACCCCTTGATCAAGGAGGTGATTTGGTGACTTGGGTGAGAAGATCACTTCAAGGAGGAGTGGCAATATCTGAAATTTATGACAAAAGGCTGGATCTTACTGTGGAAAGAACAAGTGAGGAGATGTCTTTAGTTCTCAAGATTGCTCTTTTCTGTACCAATACATCCCCTGTAAATAGGCCTACAATGCGAGAAGTGATCTCGATGTTGATTGAAGCCAGGGAATCTGTAAGCACTTCACCATCATCTCCAACATCAGAAACTCCTCTGAGTGAGACTGATGCAAAAAAAGGTGCATAAATACAATTTCCTCTATCTCCTTTCCATGTTCATAATTCTAAATTTAGTTAACCATCAAAAGGAATTATTCAATATTGAGTGGATGTTCACAAAGGAAAATCAGCCATATCACATACATGTATACTTACTAACAGGGACCAGTTTGCATATTTAGTGGCATTTGTGTATTCATGTTTTTCATGTCTGATATTTTAGATTCAAATAGTCATCCTCAGAGAACTAAAATGCAAACACATTGTCTTATTTGCAGGTTCTGCGGAATCATAGACCAAACAAGAAAATGAGCTAGCAGAAGTTGTGCCTGTCTCATGCTGCCAAATTCTCCCTCATTGATTTTAAGCACAATAGAATAATAGAGTTAGAAGCATCTAATTATTCATGTACACAGCTACACTGGTACCATACTTACCCTCCTAATTATTCTTGAAATTTCTTATCTATTTCTCTGCTGTCCACATCTGTTATCTGTCTGCACATTAACTGCCTAATTGTATTCAGTTCTTAAGTTACTAATCAGTTGGTTACTTCTGAAAGCTCCTATTGCCAGATTCGGCGTTCTTGGTTACGTATTTTCTGCTTGAATTAATACATTAGTATGAATTCAAGCCTCAGTATAATTTTGACCATATCTTACGTAACATTTATGACAAAAGTTCCTTTCAAGTAAAGTATCATTGAGACTAGTCTTGCAACTTGTAACTGGAAGAGAGATCCGCCCAGGAAAAAAGTACAGTTTGACCTATGCTACCTTACCTTCATTGGTACTTTTCTTTTCTAGTCTCACTTTGCATTGATGTGAATGTTATGTTACTAAGTTAAGTTAATAATCATCCAATGTTTGAAGGTTTGAGGTAGACTAAGCATATGAAATAACCTTGACTGCTATTTATACAGTTACTAAATTGGTGTCTCTAGTCTGCATCATGTTCATCTACATGCTAATTAACAACGCATCCCCAGTCATCTGAACATCTTACCTGAGCTATTAGTTCCATAGGGAAGCAATATATAAAAAAAAATGAACGACACTTCTCCCTACAGTTCACTATGCAGTCAATTCTAACACTCACCAGTAGTCCTTACATGAGCAATTCCCCTCTTTAAAATGATGGAATCGATAGCGATCCCTCAATAGTATTTCTCGATCATAAAGCTTGGAGAGAATCTTGGCAACAGTGTGGCAGTCCCCTTGACGAGCGCAAAACATAAAACAAAATTATTGTTCGCTAGTCAAAGATAGTATAGATTACTTATCGTCTCCACAGGGATTGGATTTAAACATTGTTCGAATAATCTCTAGTTGATTACCATCCAGGAAAATTAACACTTGATTTGATGATTGTTACTACGGTTAACTACTAAAATTAAGCAAATAACAATTGATCACAAAAGACTGCAGATGAGCTGCAAAGAAATATCAATGAGAGGAATAAGGGTATTTGACTAGATACGTGAAAGATAACTGACTCGGGATCCAATTCTTGAGTTAATTCACTCTATAATACGGTTGATCCTCACGAATTCAACCGATAATCAAATTGCACTTGAAGTTATTGTTCCTCTTTTGACTAAACGTTAATTCAGTAATTAATCCAATTGAAGCACGGTAAACAATTGCAACAATCAAATGATGGTTATGATCTAAAGGGTAACTTCTCACGAATATTTTCCTATTTTCTAGTCCGATTAACAATTCAAGAGGCTCTTTCGATTACCCATTTGAATCACGAATTTAAACTAGAGCATAAGATATGAAGAAATTCAATATCAAACTCCTCTTTCGATTAAGCAAAACAATAAATAACTTACAATACAAATTAAAGCTCCATCAATTAATTCTAACAACTATTAAGAATCGAATCCCTAATCAAGTTATCGAAACACCGTATCTGTCAACACCCTAATGGAAATTACTTCATAACAATGGAGTAATACATCTCAAATAAGTTTAAGAAAAAAAAAATATCAATTCTAATGATTCGATACAAACTCTCGTATTGCACCGATTGCAAGTGGTAATATTGATGAATTCTTGAGTCTTGGTTGGTTCTCCAATCTCCCTTAGGTCAAAAGTCCCTTCAAATACGTATTTTTGGTATATTTATACTGTGTAGAAACAAGCCCGGACAAAACTACCCTTTCCTAGCCGAACTTGGAATTCACTCTGATGATTTTGCAGAGCTGCGCCGCACGTCGCGCCGCCCCATGCGTCGCGCTAGTGAGAAAATCTAGAGAGCTTGCACTTTGCTTGTCAAACCACTTTTGCACTGCCGCGCCGCGCCTCGCGGTGCCCCGTGCGGTGCGGTAGTGGCTTTTTCTTAGAGTTAATTTGTTTGTTCACTTTTTGATATCCGAACTTAGTCCTCTACTCCCGAACGTGATCCCAACTTAATTTCTTGGGCTTCTACTCAGACTTCAAAGCTCCAACTTGTTCGATTTCTCTCCAAATTACCTAAATAGCTCAGAATCATTTCCTACAAGGTATAAAACACATAATACGTATAATTCACTATCATTTAAGCTCAAACACAAGTAAAATGCAGTAATTAGAGTGTAATACTATGGCTAAAACACGGGTTTCTAACCTACCATCAACACCCCACACTTAGACCATTGCTCGTCCTCGAGCAATCAAATTGCACTTCACCTAGGGACAACCTTTTCATTAAACAACATCCCTAACACATCATGCCAAGAATATTTAAAATCGACTAAGCACCCTATCATAACATCCTAACCTCAAGACTCGACTCAAAAGCACCACACATTTTTCACAACCTGTTCACTTACTCTAACACAGAGGTCAAAGACTTTATCTTACCTTCACAAGTCATGTGCCTTCATACAAACAACAGAGAGTAGTTCCACACACAATAAAATTCAACAACAAATAGGAACTCAAGATAGATAGAATTCACTCACTCTCAGAAATATGTACCATAAGCTTGCTCGTGGTGTAATACTCTACTAATTGAGCTCATTTAGTCAAGGATCACGTAAGACTTTATTTGGTTGTAATGTAGGCTGCGGGGCGGGTATGATACATATGGATATAGTGGCTAAACCTCCCTGAGCACTTTAATACTTACAATTTCACAAATTAAACCCTACAGTTATGTTGAACCAAACCCCAACCTTCACATCATATTAACATCAAGCTCCCAATTTCTTTAAGCACATACAAAGCAAGATTTACCACCAGCAAAGAATAATTTTCTTTATAATATATACAAACACCAACAATTTTTTTTCTTTTTCTAGATTCTAATTTTCTCTTCTTCTTTTTTTCTCAATTTCCTACAAGTGGCTCTCACAACAATTCATCTTCCTCCTTTTCTATTGTTTCACTCAAAACCCAACCATACCTCCTTGTAGATTTTAACAAACTCATACCAAATTCAAGTGCTCAAGAGAGGTCAACGGTTCAAACAGGTAGTCAATTCAAACAAAGAGGTCAGGCTTGTAGTGTGGTTGCAAAAAAATAAAATAGGATTACAGGCTCAAAGGGGTTAACTAAGATGCACAATAATTAGGCAGGTCACAGACATATAATTGGCTCAACAAAGAAATGCCTATATCACTTTCTAGACTGAACAAGACTACTATTTCACTTTGCAAACACACGGGGCAAGTTCTAGATATCACTGAAATACACAGAATATCACAAAAACCTCACTCACACATTAGCACATAACTCACTTAGGATCAGATCTTTCCCGACTCTCTAGTCAAAGCAGCTAAGCAAAGTTACGATCAAGCAATTTAAGGCACTTATCTAAGAGTCAAGAATTGAGCCTAGGCGTCATGACTAAGGCACTCACCACTCTCAAGGCATATGCAGTCAAGGGAAATTGCTTCAAATTAGCACTATTACTCAAGATTCTTTATTTCTATAAAATAAAAAAATAACTACACCTGGTTCAAGTAAAACCCTTGAAAAAGAACCGCGACACAAAGAAAAACCAATGAAGAATTACTATACTACCTAAGAAAGTAAAATAAAATAGAATAAAATAAAACAAAAGACATATTTTTTTATTTTCAAATTTTTTTATTTGTATTTTTCTCGTTCGACTTCAAATCCCTCAAGAAGCCAGTCGACGAAATCCATCGTCGGGAAGAGTCGAAACTAAACAATTAATTACTAACTATTACAGGCCGATAGAAATCAGAGTTATGATTACAGACCATATTGTCTAAGAAAGCAAGAAACAAATCAAACAAAACCAACTGGCAAATAGAAAACAAGTACAAATACAATCAAATAGAAGCACCCCACACTTAAGAAATTGCATTGTCCCCAATGCAAAATAGTAAAACAAGAGTGAAAAGGTAACTCCCTGAGGCTTGTGGCCTACTCCTCATCAGCACCCTCAAAGGTGCGCAGGTACTATTCATCATCAGAGGGAACAGAGTTTGCGTCCTCATCTGGTGGAATCTGTACTCCAGCGGCTAAGCCCAATCACTGTTGTGTGACCGCGGAGAGGGGATGGTCCTCCTGCAGCTCTGCCAAGTCAACCTTCCCCGAGTAGCGCGAAGGTGCATATCAGCAAATAGCAGCTGCAGTATCTCCTCAACACGAACAAATCTATGATCTACAGGAACAACAACATCCGTAGGGGGGGAGGGTCTGTCACAGCTATGACATCAAAAGGCTTAAAAGGCCGCAAAACCGGAATCTCCCGATCATAATGGAACTCCTCCTCCACATGGTGAGTCCTCAGAAGCCGAGTGATCATACTCGGGAAATATAGGTGGCGGGCCCCAAGCGGTCGTACTCGAGACATGTGCTCAAGCATAATCTTACCCAGATCAAATTTCATCTGAGTCAAAATAGCATAAATGAGACATACCTTCAACCGAGAGACATCAGTGTCATTCTAGATAGGCATGATTTTTTTATTAATCAAACGGAGAACGACTCTGGGGGGAGGGGGGGAGACGTTGGAAATGGCACTTCTTCATGTCGTTGTGAAACTCATTAGCATCTCGCGTCCATGTGGCAAGAGACCCCGCGCCACACAGTTGGTGTCTAATATCAGGATAGGGGGCCGACGCAGCAACCTCAAGAACAACTTATGCGAATGCTCCGTGAATCCCATGATCTGATTTATTACCCGGGAAGAAAATGAAATCATCTTGCCTCGCACCCCTACTTCATACACTGCATCTAAATTGGCCTCAGGTTGCCAGTTAGCATAAAATTCCTTGACCATGTTCGCATTCACCGACTCACCGGGACGGTACAAGCTTTCAAAACCCATGTGTCTGATGTTGTTGTAAATTCTCGAGTATTTGCTGGCTTGCTTACCATCATCAATGCCAACTTCCGGGTCGGGACTCACCGATGGAATAAAGGTCCGGTACCATATCCTAGCATGAGTTGGCACAGCCTGAATGCCATACTTGCAGCCTGGTCTTACATCCACATCATCAATGCGCTTCTCTTTCTCCTCCGCTGGGGCGGGGGAGATGCCCGCCTACCTCCTCGACGGCTACTAAAGGCAACCTCTGAGGTACCTGT